CATGTGCACTCGTGTACATCCCGCTCCCATGTTACTTTCCTCACCTTCTTCTTCTCCTAACCTCTGGGGATATCTCCCCAAGCCCTGGTCCTCCACTATCGCACCCCCACACCAGGCATCCTCTTTCTTCCGGAAATAGCCGCAATCCCCTCAATTTAATATCAGTCCCCGTGCTGCCAAAAACCACCCTCCCTTTTTCATGTGCGCTCTGGAATGCCCGCTCTGTCTGTAATAAGCTCACCTCTGTCCATGACCTTTTTGTCACCCGCTACCTTAACCTACTAGCAATTACAGAAACCTGGCTCCAAGCAAAAGATTCTGCTTCTCCCGCAGCACTTTCCTATGGAGGCCTCATCTGGACCCATTCACCCAGACCCAGTGGTCGGAAAGGTGGTGGGGTTGGTTTGCTTATATCCCCACTGAGCACTTTTCATGTCCTCCCTAACCCTCCCTCTCTATCCTTCTCTTCTTTCGAGACTCACTACATCCGGCTGTTTTCTCCCATTTCTCTGAGGATTGCAGTGATCTATCGGCCTCCTGGGCCACTGTCCCTCTTTCTTGATGATTTCTCTGCCTGGCTTCCCTACTTTCTCTCCTCTGAACTACCCACTATCATTCTCAGAGAATTTAACATCCCCATTAATGTCAACAACCCGGCTACATCCCAACTCTTCAACCTAACCTCATCTTTTGCATTAGTACAGTGTCTACAGTCCTCCACTCACTCTGATGGGAATACATTAGACCTTGTTTTCCCGTATTTGCACTCCCTACAACCTCATAAACACCCCCTTTCCTCTCTCTTATCACAATCTCATCACCTTCACAGTCTCCGCGTCTTCAAACACCTATCCCTCCAAGCGGCAAACAATTACCCGCAGAAACTTCACAACTTGAACCCTGCTTCTTTCCACTCTGCAACTGACCAACTCTATGACAGAATCTCTCCCCTGTCCTGCCCTGACCTGGTCACTGCTGCCTATAACAGTTTGCTTTCATTCACTTAGACTCGCTTGCTCCTCTAACAACATGAAGCATCAGGCCCCGACCGTTACAACCTTGGCAGACTGACGACACCAGAAATCTTAAACGACATAGTTGTGCTCTGGAGCGATTGTGGCATAAAACCAAAGCTCAACAAGCATTCACCCTATATAAATCTGCTTTTTTAACATACAATTCCTCCCTTCATGCTGCCAAACAAGCCTACTTTGTCACTCTTATTAATACCTTGTCATCCAGTCCTCATCGTCTCTTCTCTACTTTTAACTCTCTACTTTCTCCACCTCCACCTCCACCCAGTACCTCACTCACTGCTCACGAGATTGCAAATCATTTCAAAAACAAGATTGATGCATCGCCACTGCACAGACATCCATCCCACTTATCATACCTTATACTAAACCTCCCTCAACACTTTCCTCTTTTGACCTTGCTACTATCGAAGAGGTTACTAAGGTTTTCTCAGAAGCCCATCTCACTACCTGCCCCCTGGATCCTGTCCCCTCACAACTACTACGGTCACCCTCTTCTTCCATCCTATGCTCCCTCACTCACATCTTCAATCTTTCCCTCTCTACTGGTGCCTTCCCCTCCCCTCTAAAGCATGCGCACGTCACTCCCATACTTAAAAAGCCCTCCCTGGACCCCACCAACCTGAACAACTTAAGACCCATCTCCCTGCTGCCATTTACCTCTAAACTCCTAGTCTACAATTGCCTAAGCTCCCACCTCACCGACAACAACCTTCTTGACCCTTTACAGTCTGGCTTTCGCTCACTACACTCCACTGAAACTGCCCTACAAAAAACTCACTAATGATCTACTAACTGCTAAAACCAATGGCCACTACTCTGTACTCTTACTACTTGACCTCTCTGCAGCTTTTGATACGGTTGACCATCCCCTCCTCCTCAAAAAACTCCACTTTCTTGGCCTCCGAGACTCTGCTCTCTCCTGGTTCTCCTCCTACCTATCGCAGCGCTCCTTCAGTGTTACCTATAACGCTGCCTCCTCCTTCACTCCCTCTTTCTGTAGGGGTCCCTCAAGGTTCTGTCCTTGGACCCCTTCTCTTCTCCATCTACACCTCCTCTCTTGGTCACTTGATAAACTCCTATGGCTTTAAGTACCATCTCTATGCTGATGACATACAAATCTATCTTTCTACCCCTCACCTCACCCCTTCAGTCTCCACTCGCATTACTAACCTACTAAGTGACATATCGGCATAGATGTCACTCCACTTCCTCAAACTCAATTTTTCAAAAACTGAGCTCTTAGTTTTCCCTCCAGCCTGTGCCCCCTCCCCTGACTTCTCCATCAAGATCAATAACACAATCATCATTCCCTCCCCTCATGCCGGGGTACTAGGTGTAATCCTAGACTCCCATCTGTCCTTTCAGCCCCAAATCGAATCACTGTCCAAATCTTGTAGACTTCACCTCCGCAACATCTCCAAGATACGGCTGTTCCTAACCTCGGAAACCACTAAGCAACTTATTCACTCCCTTGTTATATCTCGCCTTGAGTATTGTAACTCCCTCCTCATTGGCCTACCTCATCGCAGGCTATCCCCTCTTCAGTCTATCATGAATGCTGCTGCCAGACTCATCCACTTTACTAACCATTCTGTATCTGCCACCCCTCTCTGCCAATCCCTCCACTGGCTTCCCATTGCCCAATGGATAAAATTCAGAACACTAACAATAACGTATAAAGCCATTTATAACTCTGCCCCAAATTACATCACCGATCTTGTCTCTAAATATCACCCAAACCGTACTCTCCGCTCCTCGCAAGACTTCCTACTCCCTAGCTCCCTTGTCTCCTCCCATGCTCGTCTCCAGGACTTCTCCAGAGCTTCCCTCATTCTCTGGAACTCTCTACCCCAATTTATCAGACTATCGCCTACTCTGCTCACTTTTAGGCGATCTCTGAAAATCTATCTCTTCATGGAAGCCTATCCTGCCCTCAGCTAATACTGGAATCTTCTACTCTTCCAACCAGTCCATTCCCCACAGTTACTACCTTTTGTACCACTAGCCCCTCCCTCCTAGAATGTAAGCTCCAAGGAGCAGGACCCTCAAATCCCTCTTGTATTGAACTGTATTGTTGCTGTTTTGTCTCCCATTATATTGTAAAGCGCTGAGCAAACTGTTGGCGCTATATAAATCCTGTATAATAATAATAATAGTTATGGGAAAGAATGAGGACTGAGAAAACCAAACCATGTCCCACTGACCATATCTACTGTCTAGTGTTGGAAACCAAAGTAAAGAAATACTTTACATCTTGTTTCACCTGCTAGTTAATCTCTCCGATCTATTACTATGGAAAACGTCCTTCCAGGGTGTCTCCAATTTACAAGCCGACCTCAATTCACTGTTTAATGGGGCAACCATGTGGCAAATGAGGTTTAATGTTGATAAATGTAAGGTTATGTACTTTGGGGCTAAAAATATGCATGCATCATGCATACTAGGGGGAGTACAACTGGAGGAATCAATGGTGGAGAAGGATCTGGGAGATCTGGTAGATCACAAGTTTAATAACGGCATGCAATGCCAAGCTGCTGTTTCTAAAGTGAGCAAAATCTTCTCTTGTATTAAAAGAGGTATAGACTCCAGAGAGAGAGAGAGAAACAATATTACCCCTGTACAAATCATTAGTGATACCTCATCTGGAATATGTAGCTCAGTTTTATTATTTATGTATTTATTTATTTCAGGTATGAATATAGCAACGCCAAATTTACATAGTGCTTTACATATATATTGTACATTCACATCAGTCCCTAGCCCTTAAGGGGTGTACAATCTAAGGTCCCTAACTCACATTGATACATAGACATACTAGGGCCAATTTAGACAGGATCCAATTAACCTACCAGCATGTCTTTGGAGTGTGGGAGGAAACCGGAGTACCCAGAGGAAACCCACGCAGACACAGGGAGAACATGCAAACTTCAGGCAGGTGGTGCCGTTGTTGGGATTTGAACTAACGACCCTAGTACTACCAGGCGGAAGTGCTAACCATTTAGCTGTGCTGCCCCTGTTTTGGGCACCAATTCACAAAAAGAACATTGGGGAACTGGAGAAAGTGCAGAGAATGGCAACCAAACTGATAAGAGGCATGGAGGAGCTCAGCTATGAGGAAAGATTAGAAGAGCTGAATTTATTCTCTCTTATTAACACTAACAATACAAACATAAATGCAGTGCAATACTAAACATAATACAGTGCAAACAAACCCAACCAACCACCCACAGATAACAGTACATACAAGCAAGCGTCGTCAGGCAGGCCGGGTCAATATCAATTGGGCAGGTAGGTACAGGGGGAGCAAGCGGAGAATGGTCGGGGTCACAGGCCAGGTTCAGCAGGTAGCAAGCAGCGTAGTACAGAGGTCAGGCAGAGGGATGGTCAGGGTCACAAGCCAGGGATCAGAACAGGTAGCAAGCAGCGTAGTACAGAGGGTCAGGCAGAGGGATGGTCAGGAGCGAGCCGGGATCAGAGCAGGAGAAATCAGCAGCAGTTCAGATCAGGCAGGGTCAGTCAGCAAACAGGAACAGAAACAGGATGCAGGACAGATACAGGGCCCACAGGACACAACACAACACCAAGGCAGAGTCTGTGGGTCTGGCCATCCCTTAAATACCCCAGCATAATCAGTTCCAGGTGTTAGCTGGCTGCAAAGTTGAGTCTCTGATTGCTGGGAGCATCCGCTGGCCAGCCCTGGTACTGCAGATCAAAAGGCAGGTGAGTCCCACCATTGCTGGCCAGTCCATTCCTGACAGTACCCCCCCCCCCCTCAAGGAGCGGCCTCAGGACGCTCCAAACAGTCCTAGCTGGGAAAAAAATGTTCCACCGCCCGGGTCTGGTAACTGGCGGGATATCAAAGACTGGCACACCGGGCAGGGCTCTGGGCAGCGGTACACCGGGCAGAGGCACATCGGGCTGGACTCCGGGCAGAGGCAACCGGGCAGAGGCACATCGGGCAGAGGCACATCGGGCTGGACTCCCGGGCAGAGGCACATCGGGCTGGACTCCGGGCAGAGGCACATCGGGCAGGACTCCGGGCAGAGGCACATCGGGCAGGACTCCGGGCAGAGGCACATCGGGCTGGACTCCAGGCAGAGGCACATCGGGCTGGACTCCGGGCAGAGGCACATCGGGCTACCAGGCGAAGCAGCAGGCAGTGGGCCACCGGGCGGAGCAGCAGGCACCGGGCCCCGGGCGGGGCGACAGGCACCGGGCCCCCAGGCGGGGCGACAGGCCTCGGGCCCCCAGGCGGGGCGACAGGCCTCGGGCCCGCAGGTGGGGCGACAGGCCTCGGGCGCCCAGGCGGGGCGACAGGCCTCGGGCCCCCAGGCGGGGCGGCAGGCATCGGGCCCCCAGGCGGGGCGACAGGCATCGGGCCCCCAGGCGGAGCGGCGGGCGCCTGACCCCCAGGCGGAACTACAGGTCTCGGGCCCTCAGGCGGAGCGGCGGGCGCCGGACCCCCAGATGGGAGCGACAGGTCTCGGGCCCTCAGGCGGAGCGGCGGGTGCCGGACCCCCAGAATGGAGCGACAGGCCTCGGGCCCCCAGGCGGGGCGACAGGCATCGGACCCCCAGGCGGGGTGACAGGCATCGGACCGCCAGGCGGGGCGGCGGGCGCCGGACCCCCAGGCGGAGCTACAGGTCTCGGGCCCTCAGGCGGAGCGGCGGGCGCCGGACCCCCAGGCGGAGCTACAGGTCTCGGGCCCTCAGGCGGAGCGGCGGGGGCGCCGGACCCCAGATGGAGCGACAGGTCTCGGGCCCTCAGGCGGAGCAACAGGTCTTGGGCCCCCAGACGAAGCGGCGGGCACCGAGTCAACTGGTGGAACAGCGGGCATCGAGTCAACTGGCGGAACTGCGGGCACCGAGTCGTCTGGCAAGACTGCGGGCACCGAGTCGTCTGGCAAGACTGCGGGCACCGAGTCGTCTGGCGGAACAGCGGGCATCGAGTCAACTGGCGGAACAGCGGGCACCGAGTTGTCTGGCAAGACTGCGGGCACCGAGTCGTCTGGCAAGACTGCAGGCACCGAGTCGTCTGGCAAGACTGCAGGGCACCCGAGTCGTCTGGCAAGACTGCGGGCACCGAGTCGTCTGGCAAGACTGCGGGCACCGAGTCGTCTGGCAAGACTGCGGGCATCGGATCAGGTACCGGATCATCTGGATCAACAGCGGGCATCGAGTCAACTGGCCTAATAGGATCGTCAGGCTGGATCAGTTCATCATGCTGGGTAGAGGCATCAGGCTGAATGCCGGCGTCTGGCTGAGTAGAGGCTTCAGGCCGAGTAGAGGCTTCAGGCCGAGTAGAGGCATCAGGCTGAAGAGAGGCATCAGGCTGCGTACAGGCATCAGGCTGAGTAGAGGATTCAGGCTGAGTAGAGGCTTCAGGCTGAACCACGGAAGGCAGGTTCACCGGTTTGGATACTGGCAGGATGGTATTGGTTGGAAAGAATTTTCGCTTTTTTCTGGTTTTAACTACTGGAGCACTGCAAGTAAACGCAGGTCTGCAAACGAATGGAGCAGCTGGAGACAGAGAAGAACTGGAGGATGGAACAGGAGAGGGAGCAATTGCTACAGAGGGCTTTTTTTACAGGGTTAAAGGCAGGATAGGTGCAGCAAGTGGGAACAGGGTACTGACATGCGGTAGATAGCCAAGTATACTGGGCTGTAACTGGAGGAGCTGTTGAGAATACAGGAGAAGAGTTAGAAGCAGGACTGGGTTTTTGTAAGCTGACTGAGGCTGGGTGCAACAAGTCTGTCCATGTCTGCAGTAGGGGTTGAACAAAGCTGAGCTTACACAAAGCCTGTCTGGTCAATGACTGCACTGCGTTTATACAATCTCTTAGTACCTGTGGTGAACATGTGGAATAACTCTCCAGAAAGTAACCCACATCATCCTCTAATAACCACACCAGGGACTCTACCTGGTCTGCACTAAATGGTTGCAAAAATTCATCCCTGCATTCGGGGGTACCAGATGAAACCAACTCTGTACAAACCTCAATCAAAGGCTGCACCTCAGAGAACTCTGTGCCCTGATCTACTAGAACATGAGCGAGCCGTATACATTCTAGCAGTTCATCCCGGGTATACTCCTTCAGAGTTTGATAAGCATACTCCCTGTCATCAAACACTAGCAGATATAAATACACAACCTCATCCAGATCCATCCTTCCCAGCAACAAGCCAAGATGGCTTCCCTGTGCAGCCACTTCTGGTCAGGATTGGCCTTGGTGTAATGTCTGGGCTCCCAGGTATGACCAGAGATGTGTGACTGACGCAGGGAAACGCAGACTTCAGATATGTGATAAACAATATAATTTATTAACACTAACAATACAAACATAAATGCAGTGCAATACTAAACATAATACAGTGCAAACAAACCCAACCAACCACCCACAGATAACAGTACATACAAGCAAGCGTCGTCAGGCAGGCCGGGTCAATATCAATTGGGCAGGTAGGTACAGGGGGAGCAAGCGGAGAATGGTCGGGGTCACAGGCCAGGTTCAGCAGGTAGCAAGCAGCGTAGTACAGAGGGTCAGGCAGAGGGATGGTCAGGGTCACAAGCCAGGGATCAGAACAGGTAGCAAGCAGCGTAGTACAGAGGGTCAGGCAGAGGGATGGTCAGGAGCGAGCCGGGATCAGAGCAGGAGAAGTCAGCAGCAGTTCAGATCAGGCAGGGTCAGCAAAGGAACAGAAACAGGATGCAGGACAGATACAGGGCCCAGGACAAACACAACACCAAGGCAGAGTCTGTGGGTCTGGCCATCCCTTAAATACCCCAGCATAATCAGTTCCAGGTGTTAGCTGGCTGCAAAGTTGAGTCTCTGATTGCTGGGAGCATCCGCTGGCCAGCCCTGGTACTGCAGATCAAAAGGCAGGTGAGTCCCACCATTGCTGGCCAGTCCATTCCTGACAGATATGATCGACATATAAATACATCAGTGGTTCATATAGTGAACTTGGTGTAGAGTTATTCACCCTTAGGTCATCACAGAGGACAAGGGGGCACTCTACGTCTGGAGGAAAATAGATTTAATCTCCTTATACGGAAAGGTTTCTTCACAGTGAGAGCTGTGAAAATGTGGAATAGACTCCCTCAAGAGTTGGTACTGGCCAGCTCAGTGGATTGCTTTAAAAAATGCCTGGATTCTTACCTTGATACACAGAATATAACTGGATACTAATATGTATAGGTTAAGTTGATCCAGGGAATATCTGATTGCCTCTCGGTGGATCAGGAAGGAATTTTTTTCCCCTGCAGGAACAAATTGGATCATGCTTTGCTGAGGTTTTTTTTTTGCCTTCCTCTGGATTAATTGTGGGTATAGGATTATAACTTTTTTTTGTTTGGTTGAACTGGAAGGACCTTTGTCTTTTTTCAGCCAGACTAACTATCTATTACTGAAATTCTATTTGAACACATAGCAATTGTTTTTGTAGGCCCACTGGTAAAATTTCAAAAAAATGTCACTAATACATATTGGTGATCTTTGATTATGCCACATGATACCCTTAAGCTCTTCCTCTATGCAATACATCCAAAATGATTGCCAGAGTATTATTTCAAATGTTTACTAGAATACGTTTTTTTCCAAAGAAACTCTTACTGACCAGTGTACTGTGTTCATCTCAAGGGTTATGGCAGGTATTTTCAAACTGTATTAGATTAAGCAGCTGCATATATCTGTCGACCATCAATATGAACAAGACCTTAAACAAAACCATTGAAGCCATGCTTAGCTGGGTAATACAAAAGCATGAGAAAAACTGGGACTGCCTTCTTGCTTTTATCTGACACACATGTGGTTTCTCACCCTTTGAATTGGTGTATGGATTAAGGCTCAGAGGACTGGTTGACCTAGTGATTGAAGCATGGGAGTCCACCCCTCACAAGAATGTGCTAGAATAAGTCACGAGTGTGTGACTTGAGCTTTAGGTTGTTGTTAATAGCATCCAAGTAGCAAGTACACTATCAAAGCCCAAACCCAGGAAGCAAAGGAATTTCTTCAAAGTAACAAGGATAGTTTATCTGATTTACCAGGGCTCACTGAAGTTGTTGAGCATAATAACATTACAGAGCAAGGTATCAAGATTTTTGTGAGGCTTTATTGCCTCCCAGAGACTCAGACGAAGGTTGTTTTGGATGAGGTGAAGATGATGTTGGCACTGGGAGTAATTCAGGAATTGAAGAGGGAATGATCAAGCCTAATTGTGTTGGTTCCCAAGCCCAACAAAACTCTGGGGTTCTGCAATTATTTCCAGAAGCTTAATGAAGTTTTAAAATTTGGTGCTTATCTCATGTCCCTGAAGATGAGCTCATTGAAAAATTAGCCCCGGACCCTTACATCACCACTTTGAACCTTACAAAGGGATGTTGACAGATACCTCTGTTCATAACTGCCCAAAATAAATTGTCTTTTTTCTTCACCCCAGCGGGACTCTTCCAGTAGAAAAAGGCCTTTTGGCCTTCAGACTGCTCCAATAGGCAATGTATAAGGTGTTTACTACCCCATTGGGAATATACCTCAGGGTCTTTAGATGACAATGCCATTTTTATTAGGGACTGGGAATCTCATTTGCCCAAAGTTTTAGCATTGCTAGTCTCCCTGAGGAGAGGAGGAATTACTGTGATCCCCTGAAAAATGAGTCTGGGATATGAAGAAAGTAAAGTACCTTGGGTACATCATGGGTGGAAACTACACAGTCCTGGCCACTTCCCCTCACCAAAAAGCAGGTGTGTGAGTTTTTAGACATTGTGGGGTATTACAGTTTGTGCCCAATTTTGCCACCCTGGCAGTTCCATTAAATGATCTGACTGAGGGCTGGCAGTCAATCATAATCACGTGGAACCTGAATGCTGAAAAGGCCTTCCTTGGGCTCAAGTCAGCACTGTGCTTTCATCCTGTCCTGATAGCTCCCAATCCCCCCAATAAATTATTCTTCAGATGGACACTTCCTGTTCTGTCACAGGTCATTCATGGGGAGGAGCATACCCTGGTTGTTCTCACTCCGAAATTAACTGCAGTTGATAAAAAATAAACATTACTTAGAGAATGTTTGGCCATTAAGTAGATCTTAGAATCAGATATTCATGGAGATTTACATTTTGGCCACAGAGTGTGTGCTGCTTAACCCATCTTGTGCTAGGGAGTCAGCTGCAGGTCTAGCTAAAGGGGACACTGCCTGGTGTTCCGAAGAGTTTTGTCCACTTAACCTCCTACCTAAAAGAACTCTGCTATAGTTGCTACTACTACTATTACTGGTGCCTTAAAGCTGATGTCTACTGTTTATTTCAAGCACGAACTTCATCATAGCATATCCAAAAGAATGCAGTTTTTCAACTGTACATAGTTTTCTGTTTTTGGAGCATCCCACCTAATTCCCTATCACTATCCACATTCTCCAAAAATAAAAACAACCCCCACCATAGACTGAATAGGATGGAGGAGTTGGAAGAGCTGATTGCAATCTTCAAGGAGAATCTATCTAAGCATTCTGCGGTCAACATCGAGCTACCAGACCCTATTTCTCTCACAGCCATAGACCTTCCCCAGTTCCTGGTTGTTAATAGCGGTGTGTACCATGGTTTATTCTTGATGGCTCCCCCCTTGATTAGGTTTGGCCTCACTTTTGCTGTTCTTGCCCTCTTCTATTGCTTTCACTCTCTGCTTCTGTACTCTTTCCTCTCTCCTTGTTCTCTTTGTCTATTTTTCCATTATATTGTTTGTATTCCCACAGACGCCCCGATTTAGATTCTGGTATAGGTTTTGGCCTCGGCTGGTCTCTGCTGGGATGTTCTTATAGATCCCTGATTGAAGTATTTTCATTCAACTGTTGTTATTGATCACTACCTGATTCCTGTCATATGTATGCAGTATCCTGTTTATTTTAGGCGGCTTCTATTTTACCCTATGTTCGGGGTTTGTTTATATTACTTTATATTGTACCCGGTAATGCCTGTAATATTGTTGTCTTTCAATAAACGACTATGGAAGCAAAAACAACACCCCCTAGGCTGGTCATTGAAGAAACACTTGAATGAGCCTATGTTCCTGGCTGTGGAGCAAAGCTTTTGCGAAGAGCTGGCCTGTGGCTCCTTTAGGAGCAGCACTACATATGCGGTGTATGCTGTACACCTGTACATTTCTGTGGAAGTTCTAGATGGGATTAGACATTTGAGCTAATTTCCTCTTTTTTTTTTCCTGAAGAAATGGATCTATCTGCGAAACCGGTTGACAAGATGTTTCAACAAACTGTGATACACAAATAACTGTTATGGTCTTATTTCCATGCATTGTACACATTGGATACATTGTAATGAATATCTATGCAATTAGCTTTTAAAGGGATTTTTTTTTATAACAGATTTATGTTTTATCTTTAATAACCTGTTCCTGCTGGCCTTATGCATATATAGGACAAGTGGGCCTTCAAACCAAGCTATCATATATGCACCTATGTGCCACTGTGTGCTTAGAGCGTGCTCACTGCGAACTCCCAGCATAGTGTCCATGCTGTCACAGCTCCCGGTCAATGTTAACAATTGGGAACGCCCAATCATGTGAGCACTGTGAAAACCAATCACAATAGTTACATGAATCGGAAGCCCACCTCCGCTTTGTGGTGGTGGCCCTCATAAAGG